GCTCCCGGGGTCGCCAGGCCTGCGCGCACCCCCCGTGCGCGTCTGGGATCCTCCCGCACAGGCGCCCCCAGGCGGCCACTGGCCCCAGGACGCCCCGGGGGACGCTGGGGACCGTCCACGCGACCGCCCCCGCCTCCCTCGCGGCGCTGGAGGCAGGAATCGCAGCTGGACTCCGGACACCCTGGTCCCGGCCCCCGCGGCTGCAGGGCGCCGTTGCCTCCCTTGGGGACGGAGAGGGCAGCCCTGGGCGGAGAGCCCCCTGGGGAAGTTGGCCACTCCCCGCGAGGCTTCCAGAGTCGGCATTCCGCCGACCTGCGTCCCCTAACGGGGCGCGGCTGGCGAGAGGGACGGCAGCTGGGCTGTCCCGCCCCTGGAGGGCTTCCTGCGCCCTGGAGAGCGAGCCACTTGGTGATAAGTGGCCGGATGGGCCTGGCTGGGCTCTGCCTGGGCTGCTGCTCCCTGGGCATCAGGAAGAAGGGAAGACACCCATGGCCCAGAGCTGCCCTGTGCCGCCGGGAAAGGCGGGGCGCCTGGGGAGACTGGGGCGCCCCCTCTGTGCCTGGCTCCCTGTTCTCCCCATATCCGGGGGCGAGCCTGGCCTCTGCACAGGGGGCCTGGGGTCCAGTGAATTCCGCAGAGGTGGTTTGGTGCCTGTGGGGGGCTCCTTGCTGCTGCACAAAGGCAGAGGTGAGGCCCCAGCCTGCTGGGGAGGTTGCAGGGCCAATTCCCCAGGTAGCCCACAGAGGGCAGGCCGGCCAGAGGCCAGGGGGTGGCCCTGATGCCTCCTCCCAGCCTCAGTTTCCCCACTTGTGAATGGGAACGGTGGGTCGTGCGATGGCCAGTGTCCGGGGTGCACATATAGGTGGGTCACAGTAACCTGAGTGGCAGCCCCGGGGGCTGCAGCTCCCAGCCCCTCCCAGCTCCGTCTTTGAAGTGGAAGGAGGGGCAGCCCAGGCAGGTGCATGGACACAAGCCCCCCCACCCTGCAGCCTGAGGACACTTCCTTCTCCCTGGTCAGCACATGGGGTTAGGTCAGGGCAGGAAGTCACTGGCAGGCCTTTCCCACAAGCCACTGCCAAGGGGGAGGGCAGTTTCCTGCCTCAACCTGCTGCCCACCCCCACCTAGGGCAGGGACAAGCCCTGCGCTCCTGTCACAGGGCTCGGCCTGTTGGGGCCCCTGTCAGCACCCCCAGCCTCTCGTCTCACTCAGCCGCCTGCCACAAGGGCTCCCTGGCTGCAGCAGTGTCCTCGGGGCCCCTCCCTGCCAGGCTGCCACCAGCTGCCTGGCACAGGGAACCCTACATCACAGAGCAGACCCAGCCTGAGAATGAAGTTCCAGGGTCTTCAACATGGGGCATCTTACCCCCCCCCCAGCCAGGTTCCTGACTTCGCCCCCTGCCATCCACCCGCTTGGTCTTTTGGGGGTCAGGGAAGGCTCTCTGATTCGAAGCCATTTAGCAGGAGCTGAAGGAACAGGGGGGCGTGGGCAGAGCCGTGCGGAGGAGGCGTCTCAGGCAGAGGGAGTGCAAAGGCCTTGAGATGGAGCAGGAGGATCCCTGGAGGGCACAAGGAGGCCCGTGTGGCCGGGATAGCAGATGTGTGGGGTCCTGTGCTTCCCAGACTTGACACATGCCAGTCTTGTCTTTTGTTTCTTTATTGACCAACAGCCCCTCCCCAAGTGGACTGCAGGCTGCAAAAAGCCCAGAACAACCTGGCTGGCTCAGCAGCGCCCGGGCCAGCACAGGGCTGCACACTGGGCTCCAGAATTGTGGTGCGACTGGGCAATGTGACTACACATCCTGGGCCAGGGGACCTTGGGTGCAGAGGAGGCTCCGGGGTGGCAGATTTTGCCCCCACAAACCACAGGGTGGCATGTCCCCAGCCACAAGGCCCTGCCTCCAGTCTGTCTCAGTCCTGCATCCCCACCTTCCCATGTCAAGAGACAGCCTTGACCTACCCAAGACCTGATCAAGGTGGGGAGGGAGGTCCTAGCAGCCTCTCCTCTCTGATCCACCTCAACATGTACCCCCATTCATTGCCTCACTACTCTCGCCTGCTCCACAAATGCCTGCTCCAATGTCCACCAGCCTCCTCCTCCAGGCAGCCTACCCGGACCAGCCCACTCCTCCCTCATCCTTGCATCCTGGCCTCTGACCCCAGCCTCCATGTTAGCCAGATGCCGGGCAGTTTTATTTGAACGTCCAACGGTCCAGCCACACCGCCCATTCTCAGCCATCCTCGCCCCTGCCTCCGCCTGCCGGAGCTCAGGCCTGGAACCAGCCCTGGAGGTCCTGGTAGACCTGGTTACGGGGCAGGTGGGGGTAGCGGGAGCAGATGGCACAGAAGCGCTCCCTCCAGTCACTGACCAGCCGCACACGGAACCGTTTTCGCCAGTGGAAGTAGCCCCGATATTGGCTTTCGTTCATGCCCAAGAGGAAGGCAGCCAGCTCGTGGGCCGAGCCGAAGTCGTCCACGTGCACAAAGGCGTCTGGCGGCGCGAAGGCCTCGTAGGTGGCCCGGGGCGGCCCCAGCACCACAGGTACGGCGCCGGCCGCCAGGGCGTTGCGCCAGAACTTCTCCGTGATGTAGTCCGGGTGCTGCGAGTTCTCGAAGGCCAGGTAGAAGAGGTACCGGGCCACGGTGGGCAGCAGGCAGTCCATGCACAGCGGCCGCCTGTTGGCTCGGCCAAACACGTCCACCTGCAGGTGGGGCGCCAGCTGCCGGTACAGCTGCACCCGCCGCTGCTTCGTCTGGAAGTTGCTGACCACCCAGGCGGCCACCCCATTCTTGGCGGGCAGGGGGGGCACGGGCCCCTCGCGGGGCTCCAGGAGGCCGTAGGGCACGAAGATGTCCGAGTCACGCCGGTAGCTCAGCACCCAGTTGAACACACCCTGAAGGCGGTCGAGGCCGCGAGTGTGGCTGGGTGACTCCATGGAAGCCCACACCCAGGGCTGCCCAGGCGGCCGCTCGGCCAGGGGCAGGCGGGCCCGCCGGCTCTGCAGCTCCCGGTGGTGGAAGACCACGGCGTCGGCGCTGGCCAGCAGGCTGCGGTTGGTGCTCAGGCAGCAATGGGCCACGCCGTAGCTGGCACAGGTGTTGCTGGGCAGCTCCGGGGGCCGGCTGGCAAAGGGCCAGTGCCAGACCAAGATGGTGAGTGTGCGCTGGGGCGTCGGGACCCTCTCAGGGGCCCACCAGAGCAGCCACAGGAGCCAGAGGGCTGTGAGCAGGGCTACCCCGGGCCAGGCCCCCCGAGGCCCGAAGCTTCTCAGCAGAGCCAGGCCCTATACAGGACACAGGAAGAGAGGCTGTCTCCCCGAGCTCACCCAGGGGCCCATCTCCCAGCCTGGCCCCCCCTGAAAACCAGACACTCACCGGCATTATTCATCCACAGCTCCCAGAATCAGTCATCGAAGAAACCCAGGGTTCTCAAATCACAGCAGCCACCTGGCAGAGGCACTCTAAAATCACAGCCACAGGCTGCACTCAGCCCACCCACCTGAAAGCAAGCTACTTTCATCTGCCCAGGATGAAGGAAACCAGGGCATCCTCCCGCCCCTGCTCCACCCTGCCCCCGCCCTGAAGGTGACCTTTGACATGCACAACCACCTTCACCCCGCCTCCAGTACGCTGGCTGCTGGGGGTAGGTGGCTATAGGAGGGGTGCCGAGCTGGGCCCAATTCTATGCCTCCCACGCTTGCTGGCCTCTGGGCAGGCACAGCACCAGGGAAGGGGAGGCCACCCTGGGTGGAGGCGACCCCACCCCAGAAGGACTCCCTGGAAACTGAGGACCCAGTGACTGCCCACCACCCAGGCCTGGGGCGCCCATGGAACGCAGGCATGCTTCCCTTAGAGGCTGCACCGAGCCTCCGGCCAGCGCCACCCTCCTCTCCTGCTGTGGCATCACCCACTTCCCCTGCTCACCGCCTGCTGGCTCTGCCGTGGGCTCCCAGCCCCTCACACTGCAGACCTGCTGTGCTCAGCTCTTTGCCAGGAGGCTGAGGTTTCTCCCGTTGCTTCTAATTGGGCCACCTCACTTCACCCCACCCTACCCACCCCTGCCCCTCTAGGACACCTGGTGCCAGAACTCAGATTCCCAGAGAGAGGGTTCGTCCCAGGGTCCTAGGACTGACTGTCTGCCCGCCCGCATGAGGCCCTAGCACATCCCCACAGTGGGCAGCTGCCAGGCCAGGCCTGGCCCCGGTGGGCGGCAGGGCCTTTCTCCCCCTCCTCAGGACCCGTGTTTGCAGGAGCCCCCGGCCGGGGGTAGGCCTGGGGTCCTGGAAGGGGTGGGAGGACTGCCTTTGGGGGCTCCAGGTCTCCTCCTCCAGGCCACAGCTCAGGATGAGGGTGGGGGCAGGGAGGGGGCTTTCCAGGCTGGAAAGGGAAGGAGTCCTGTGTCCTTGAGGCGGCGGGCAGGGGGCTGGCGCCCGCTCCAGGAAGAGGAAGGCTAGGATCCGAGCCCTTCACCTCCCCCACCCTCCTGCCGGCCCCGGTCCCAGCATGGAGATCCAGTTCCTTCCCCTTTTGCTTCGGTACTTCTGAGCTGAGGTACGGCCAACCAGCACTGTCCTGTCCGACATCCCTGAGCCCCGCCTGCACCCCACTCTCAGCTGAGCTGGTGTCCCTGAGCTTTGTTCCCCAGCCAGACGCTTATTTGGTTGTGGCTGTGACAGGGCAGGTCCGGGCTCTTGTGCTTGGTGTCCCGGACGTCTCAGGCCCGTTGGGTTCTTGGGGGCTGCAGGCAGCAACCAGGAACTGTTGGCTGGGTCTACTGCCCTGTGCTGGGCTGGGGGCCTCCCTCTGCCCCAAATTCCTGTCCTCTGCCCTGGAGTCCCAGGGCTGCTGGCCTCCCCAGCTCCTCCACTGCCCTCAGGGTGGGAACCAGGGAGCAGACCCATGGGGGGCACAGGGAAGCCCAGAATGGGGCAGTTTGGCCCTTCGGAGACTCCCCACCCCCAGCAGAACCTCTGAGCTGCGGTGGGAGCTTGTGCAATATCGAAGAAGGGGAGGGCGGGCTGTGGGATCTGTCAGAAACCATCTGGCAGATGCAAGATGTGAACCCAGCAGCCAGGCCTGGCTCCCTGCTGCCAGCACCAGGACCTGGACAAAGAGGGTAGCTGTCACCAACCCCTGCCCTTCCAGTCACCCCAGTGTTTAAGGAGATGACTACAGTGGCACTGGGCCTTTGGCCCCACCCTGAGACTCTTCCCTGGCAGGGGACCCCAGAGGAGCCACGCCCTGCTCCGACCTTGTATTAGCCCATCACTCCTGCCTGGGGCAGGCACCAGTGGGTGGCAGGGGCACACAGGAAAGAGCTGATCCCGCCACAGCCTTTTAGCAGCCTGGTTTCTGGTTGCCAGAGCCTCTGCCCTTCCTGTTTGCCGGGCCAGGCTGGCCCAGACCCTTGCCACAGGCCTCACCCACACCCACAGTCTGCTCCCTTTCTGGGTGGATTCGAAAGAATCTGCCACCTTTACTCTGGCTCGGCTGCTCCTCATTACAACCTGCCACTCGGTTGGTGGCCATGGGGCCCCCCATCGTGGGAACCTGCTGGCTGGGAAATGGGGCTCCAAGGTTTGGCCCAGAAATGGGTCAGAATGAGAGACTCTCAGAGGGAAACAAAGTGAGAGATCCTGAGTCAAAGGGAAAGCAGGGCCTCACCCTGCGGTGTGTTCCCCAGGCCTTGTGACTCACTGGGGCACAGGTGGGCACCCATCTCCAGTGCACAGCCCGTGAGCATCTCAGAATCAGAAGCACACTGTCGCCCTGCAGCCAAG